TATTTGATCATATATATATAACAATAAAACTGTTAATTTTTTCGTAAAAAAGGAGAAATAGAACTATAATTCAAGTATTACTACTCAAATGGATGGAGAAATAATGGCTATTTCATGCAATTTGATGTGTGGGACACGTTATCGCTGTGTGCGCCATCGTATGCCTGCATGTCTGCTCGCCATGTTTGGGAGGTGCGGCCGTACAACTCTGTGTGCAGCGACCGTACAAACAGTGACCAATCATCAACCTCTGTTTAACCTTATCCCCCATTCTGATCATGAGTACCTCCCCATGTGTACACACTTGATCCTGAATAAACGTGCTCCGTGCTACACGTCTGTTTCCTTTATAGCTGGGCTATAGCTTAGCTGGTTCTGGGAGTCTAGCTAGATGTAGAAGGATCTGCCATAGAGAGTTCTGAGTCAGTCAGGCTTTATTAGTGTAGCAATCCGCTACAGATGTAAGATTCGGTAGAGATTGCTCTACTCCCGAAAGAAGTAGAATAATAAGGTCAGTATTGGTTTTAAAACCTCAGTAGTGAAGATTCATATTATCTGAGGGAAGAAGTTTCAGCTCTGGAAGACCACAAATTCGTCTCCGTTCCTATTTAGACCCTGCTCTTGTAACTTGTTTAAATGGAATTATTCTGATGTGTTATCATCCTGAATTTCAATTTGATTCATTATTTAAGTGGTTTTTGTGAAATGAAACTTACTCCAAAGTAGAATGAGAACAAAAAAACAAGATGGCAAGCGAAGTAGAAGATACAGAAGACAATGAATACGTCGCGTTCAACTCGATTCAAAAGCGCTGTGCGTTCATCTTCCAGACGCTTCAATTCGGTCTGCCGCTGACGCAAGTACGCTTTCTTTTCCCACAGACGCCGTTTGAGAGTGAAGTCAATTGCTCTTTGAAGAACCCCCAGTTCTGAATATTCGAAATCAAATTTGAATAAGAGTGATAAAAAGTGGTTTTATCGCCAACAATGATGATACTTGTATCAAAGTGATCAATACCATTGCCATCATGAGAAGCATACAAAAAAAAACAGGAAATTTTCCTAAATTTGAAGCCGAAATGGTTTTAATTCATTCGATTTCTACACTCTTGAGGAACAGTTCTAAACGAGGAATTCCATCTCCGAGGTTCAATGTACATAGATATCTTCAATGGATTTATTTATTATTAAAATTTAATTTTATTAATGTCTGCTCCATCAAAATCACACCATCAAATCTTCTGGCATTCCAGCAATTAGAGCAAAACATTTAGTGAAGCGCTCCAAATCATTCGACTGTAATTTCATCTCTCCTCTCTCTCTCTCTCTCTCTCAGCTTAGCAGGCACGAAATACACCCACTGCAATTATAGGGGGGCAAATCCTAAAACTTCGAAAAAGGAAATTCAAAAGTCTTTTGAATCCATCTCTCTCTCTCTCTCTCAAATGACTTCGTCATCTCCAATGGGACTAGTTTTTAATTTCCTTAAAGAGAATGGGGCAGAATAAATTTCTTCCAAGGAGGTCTCCATGATGTCACCCGTCTTATCAAGATAGGCTTTTGGACAGTGCTTTCTAATTTACCTTCAAGGTACTTTATGCTGGAAGTTAAAGCGCAGAATTGTAAGCATAGAAAAGTAAACGAACCCCGCTCAGTTTCACTCATCTCGGGATCGTGCATTTCAGTCCTCAGCGCCTCAGTAAATGATTCATTCATCCACGGTGGAATCATTTCTCTTGGCAGAAGAATCTACAAATGCAAATAGATGCAAACATATGCAAAAGCATATAGGGGGGGGGGGGTTAGTTCAATTACATCTGTCTAATCATTGCAAAACAATTTGTCTGGTAGTCGATGCCTGAGACTTAAATGTCAATATAAAGAAAAATGTGGTAAGTTAATCTCTGGAGTGTTATAACCTGGCAAGAAGAAGTTATACCATCCTGTTCTGTTTCAATTAAACTCTGAGCAACGGAATGTCCCTTGCCAGTCTACCATTGGTCCATTTAAGACCACACCTTCTCAACTGAAAATCACGTGATTTATTATAATAGGTAGACTTACCTCCACGTGATGCATCCGGGACAAAGTATACCCATACGGCAAAAAAGTCTATCAACCAGCAGTTGATTTCTCACTTCAAACTACCATGACCCGACTCTATGCCATCTTCGACCACTTCCACAGTATTCACCTTACCTCTTTCTCTACCTTTGTGTCTGCTCGTCTCTTTTACATCTGTGAACCACTCTTCTGTTCCCCCCTCTCGAATCTTTCTCTTTTTGATGTTCCTCCCCTCTGTGAAGCCCGAAGTCAGCTAAAGGGCTTATGATAACTACCAAAACGCCTTCCACTTGAAATAAATAAAGTAAACACATTATAATAATAGAATATGAGGCTTCCCGTGAAATTAAAAATAAATATGTAAGCTTTCTAAGCGAAGCAAGATTCCGATGCAAGAAACTGATTTCAGATTTACAATGGAAGTTCTAGGTGGTCTTTGCAATCTCCACACTTAGCAACCTGCTTAACATTGAAATAGCCAACAAGCTTTAAATGCGCCAACATTTATGTGTGAAATCTACCATAAAAATTAGCTAATCAGACACCAACCGTGGACAGAATTTAAAACCG